CCCCAAAACCCCAAAACCCCGAGAATCAAAGATCAATGAAAATTAAATTGAAAAAATTAATAAACCGTTAATTATAATTTAACTTGGAATGGATCAAAACTAGGACTCTCAGTTTCAACAAGAAATAGCACCTTATACTGAGTTCTTCTCCTGGGGATCAGACTAATTTGGATAATTAGCATTAGCCAATACGGATGAAGAGGAAAATCAATACTAGCAAAATGTGCCCTTCAGTGAAGAACCTAAATCTTTATCTTTCGACATCATCATCAAATAGATATCATGTGGAGAAAATCATGCTGCATTCATATCTGGAGATTCATTTGTATTCTGTGTTGGAAAAAATAATGAAGGACAGCTAGGAGTTGGAGATCCCAGTCTGGCAAAATCTTCAGCACCTTTATTGGTCGATGCACTTCCAAAGGATGAAAATTTGTGGACAGTGTAAGTATCATGTGGAGGTAATCATACCGCAGCAGTTATGAGCAATGGAGATGTTTATAGTTGGGGTTAAGGAAATTATGGTGCTACTGGTATCTCAACAACTTAAAATACTTTCGCGCCTATTAAAATAAATTTCAAGCAGCAGGAATAGTTCATTAATATTGTAAGTGCAAGCTGTGGTAAAAGACACACTATGATATTGGACAATAATGGTGTCGTTTTTGTGACTGGAGACAATTCATTCAGATAGTTAGGTATCCCACACAAGGACAGAGTGCTAGAGTATCATTAAATACCTGATTTTAATTATAAAGCAAAGATGATTGATGCAGGCATTGATCATTCGATGATCCTCACTTCTGATGATAAGATTTATGGTGCAGGGAATAACAAATACGGAAATTTAGGACTAGGCCATACTTATTCAAGCGACAGCTTTTTACTTGTTCATGGTCTATAGCCAACTATGAAGTTTAAACAAATTTAAGCTAAGAGACATTCCGCAGCCTTGACGGAGGATGGAAGATTATTTGTTTGGGGTATGGTCTTTAGAAACGATTAGCCATTGTTGATGCCTCAAGAACTTAAGTCAAATAAAGGAATAAGGTAGATTGCGGTCGGAGATAAAGTATCTTCTATTATTGATGAAGACTATCATGTTTATACTTGGGGACTTGACAATAATTTAGGTCAGCTTGGCAGGAGAGATACTTTTGAATAAGATGAAAACAATATGCCTTCAATAATAGAAAGTTTACAATTCAAATAAGTAACATAGATATCTATTGGTGGAGATTTTTGTATTGCTCTTGGCCAAGATTTTGATGAATATGGTCAGCCAATTTAAAGGCAAAGTTTCATTTAAGAACAGCCAGCATTCTAATATAATGAAGAAACTCAACCAACCTCCTATCAAAATTACAGATAAGAATAAACAGCAACCAAAAGTCAAATGAATAATGGGCCATATGAATACAATAGAGAAAATTAGATTCAAAAAGAATCTAGTTTTGTGATTCCACAACAATAGCCACAACCAAGATACAACCAGCCAAGAGACACAGATTAAAAGCCAAATCATCGAGAAATTTTCCAAAGTCCTCCCATAATTAATAATGATAATTCTCAAATAAGCTCTGGTGCTGGTTCTTAAAGAAAACAGCAAGATACATATAACTCAAATCCCAGTTTAAATCAGAGAAATAAGGATCAAGAAAAGATTCTTGTGTAATCATAAGGAAATGATTAAAGAATTCATGGATCTTCTGATAGAAATAAATCTCAGGCTCCTATTGCTGGAACTTATCCTGCTGGTTCAAATGTTGAATTGTACAAATAGCTTGATTAGCTTAGACAAGAGAATTTCGAATTGAAACAAAAATAAAGAGAGCTAATAACAGGACTTAATGCCCTAAAAATTGAAAATGAGCAAGTACTAAATCATGCTGACGATGAAATCAAGAGAATGGGAGAGTTCGTTGACAAGTTCACTGTTTAAGTTGAAAACTCGAAAAAGTTGCTTGAAGATGAATTTGATGAGAAGATATAAATCGAACGAAGAAAGAATGACGAGTTAAAGAATAGATTCCATTAAGAGTAAACTTTACTCGACTAAAAGCTAGACAAGCTGCAGAGAGAGATAGAAATGCTCAAATAAGAAAACTAATCGTTACAATTTGAGAAGAAAGATTAAGCTGATAAGTATAAATCTACTGTTGAATAACTAGAATAAACATAGTAAAAACTTAAATAAGCTGAGCAGTAAATCCAACAACTCTAGAGTGTTGAAAGAGATAAAAATTTAAGTCCATTAGGTACTGCAAAACCTCAATACTTTTAAGAGGACAATTATCACTACGGTTCTAGAACACCTGGTGGATATTCAACTAATATGAGACCACCAATCCTCAACAATGATAGATAAGCCTAACTTCTAAGAAGGGGAGAACCAACTAATGATGCTTCATACCAGCAATATCCAAGTTTGAAAAATTCTTAGTATGATGAATAAAAATCTGCAAGTAGACTAAACGGTAATCATCCTGCTGGAGATGGAAACTACTTTAATGAAAAGAAGCAAAGTTATTCTCCATTTTAGCAAAAATATGATGACTACAGTGATCCAAGGAATGAAAAGTAAACACCAAACAGATATGGCAATACTCTTAATACAATGAGTATCTATTCTCCAATGAGATCCAGAGACTAACCTCAGCAATAGATTAATAATTTATCAAATCCAAGTTATAATAGAGATGAAAACCAGAGATTTAGGATGCAATAAGTAGAACAGCAACCTTTGGCAAGTCATATGGCCTCATAGTAGAGATATTCCTCTATTCAAGATGTGCACTAGACTAGTATAAGTCCCAATTTGAATACCTAGCCAAGAGAAGAGCCAAATTATTTGAGATCTGAGGCAAAATATTCAAATCAAGGATATCAAACATCACTATCTGCAACAAATACTGCTCCTTTAAATGCTCCTTTGCATGAAATAAACGACTAACAGTTGGATAAAGAGCAGGCAAAGCAAGACACTATACCAGACAGAGGTACAGCCCTTAATGATGTCAAGAATAGATTAATGGTTATGTAGAAAAACAAAGAAGAACTTGAAGAAAAACTGAGAAATTATGAAGCAAAAATAAGACAACACTTCAACAGAACTTGAAAATGCGCAATTGTGAAAACTCATGATTGATTTTAGCTATTACTTTAAATTTATGAATTATTTTAAGTTTGTAATTATTCAATCAAGGAAAATAACAAACTAAGGTCACTTTCTGCTCATATTTATAGGCTTTGGGGGCAACTTCGCCTTTGACTGTTTACTCGACATGTTTTTCATATTCAATATTTTAGTTGGTTCGTTTTAGTTTATAAGTTTAGATTATGATGTATTTCTCACTGATTAGGCTGAGTATTTTGTTGGGGTGAAGGTAATACCTCTTTCCTTATCAACATCTTTTTCAAGCTTTCTCATTTTGTCCTTCTTTTATAGTGATTTCTCATAGAGACAGACATATCGAGGGAGACTTCTCTCATCATTGTCTTTAATTGATTTGCTTGAAAACGAATTGCTTCTAGCTCTAAATTTCATTTTTTATTGAGAATCTATCAAATGATTTTGATCTTACTTCAACTTATTTATTTTTTCTTCTCTCTTACTAGAATCCTGATATAAATCTTCAAATCTCTTTCTTTAATCCTTTTATGTGAGTTTGCTGTTTGAATTGTCTCTTGATCTAGTTAGTAATTATGGGGTAAAAGTAAGGCCTTGCTATTCCTGCTATTCCATAATCAGTTTTTTAAATTACCTACTCTTTTGCAGATATTCATGATCCTTATAAAGCTTCTCGAAAAGCTACCTACTGTTTTGTGGTCTGTTAGAATTATAATTTTCATCTTGGCAGGTTTGATTGTGTTCAGATCACTTAGTAATTCTATTAGGAGTAAATGTGCAGCCAAGAGTTTCCTTTACCATTTTAATATGCTGCCTTCTCTAATGATCCATATCTTTAAGCTGTTTTTCTTAGTATAATCTCTCAAATAAGTCTTGTTAATCATCATATCTACGACCTTCTTAGTTTACTTAAGGCTTAAAAGTACACTATTTCCTCTCTTCCATTTCTTAAATTAGTCTGGCAATTTCAACATAGTATGGTCTGTTATTTTAAGACAATTTTTCATAAACCAGATCTTTCTTAGTCCATTTTACTGATTTAACTTTATTGTTTTTGACTCTTTGATTATGCTACAATTTGTATTTTCTGATTAATGGCACCTTTTCAGGTATGTCCTGGTTTTACTCCTCGTTAATAGTGTAAAACATATTATTATTATGATCTATTTATATATCAATACCAGTATTGTTTTAATCACTCTCGACTTTCTTAAGAAATATAGTCTAGCTTTCATGCTAAATAGGTTTCTCTGAGATCTAAGTTGCGTAATTTATTAAATGATCATTTTTTTGCAAGTCTAAGGGTTTTATTTATACATTGAATTGTCTACTCTAAAATTTTTTATTCAGTGAGTCTAGATATTCTACATCATCGTCAGACAAATCATTGCAGTCGTATGATGGAGAAAATATAGTTTTAGTATCAGTGTTCTATGAGTCTGGTAAATAAATTTGGCCAAAACTACTGCTCTCTTGAAGTTGCATATTATGAAAATTCATTATATTTATATTGTTAAATTTCATAATTCTAAACTACAATAAATTCCTTATCACGGGGTTTTGGGGTTTTGGGGTTTTGGGG